TGTCACCAAACCTGAATACAGCACGCTGATTCGCTAAAATGGACTTATCGGCTTCTGTTCACAAACAACAAGGGCGCTTGTCGGCTTCTGCAGTAAAACGTGAACTCGCGATGCCTTGAAAGTGGACAAAGGTGCAAAAACAACATAGAATTTGAACAGTGCAGTCAAATTCAGGGGAAAAAAATGTATCTTATGAGACTGTTATTTTTAGTGAATCACAAACACACCTCATGACAAACATACCTGATTCACAAACAAACAACTCTTATGACAGTTCTTTTTAATAAGTCAAAAATGTACACCGTGACCAGTGTCATCCGAATTACAAACGCTGAAAGTTATTTGAATGATTTGCTTAAAAACATGGTTTACAAGTTTGAATCAGTCTGACAAGTCCCACATTTCTATTCAAAGTGGTTAGTGAATTAACATCTTACACTAAAACTGCAAGTTTATTGTTTTCAGGGTTATCTAAATCAGTGGTTCCCAAACTGGGGTGCACAGACCGACCAGCAGGGGTGCGCGAGAGAATGCTTTTGATGATCTGTGTGCATTTTTAAAACATCGAATTAGGGAAGCACCAAAATTTCGGCGAGAATGATTCTGATTTTATTACACTTGGTGTAAACGGCAATTCATAATGGATAATCAATAGTAACAAGGTCGCGGCAGTTGAGACTCACGTGAGACAATCTCATGGAGAAATCGAAACAAATGAACACAACTGCACACAGAAGAAACATACTGCGGAAAAAATGTAGTTTTTATATTTATTACATAAAGCCTAGCCTAGTTAATTAACATGATATGACTAAGAGAGTGCAGCTTTCCCCGAAAATCAGTACAATTGTAAATTCGACATTGATTTTAAACAAGACTTCAAATGAGTAGCCTAGTTAATATTAAGTGATTTAGGGCATATATTTTAGTACAATAATGTCAATGTGACTGTTTTTGCTCGATTTGTTTAACGAAAATAGAAAACTTGAAATCGCATCATATGACCCCTTTAAGACAATCAACTTGCTGCTGGCGGGTTACTTTCAAATTTAAATAACTTTTTTTTTCCAACTTTTCATATTTGTAAATAAAAAAAAAAACTGATGTAGAACACCAGCTCACAGCATTATTTATGCTGTTGTAATTTTGCAGTGTTAATGCATTCATGCTACATTTCAGCTTCATTAAACTGTCTGTGTAAATGCATCTAAATGCCACTTCAGCTGCTTCTGTTACATCCGCGG